CATCGAGCAGGTCCTTCTTTTTGAGTGCGTGTGACGTTAATATATAAAGACATGAAGTCGGTCTAAAAAGCTACCCTGAAACCACAGCAGTGCACACAGACCATGGCATGTATTTTTTCCCTCTTGACTCAACATTAATGTGCTACTTCTTTCAGTTTTAACATACTCAATGCAGCTTTAATAGCATGTTTATCCAGCCAATCATCAGTTTAGATTTTGGAACAATTGTTGGCTCACTGGCACAGATAAAACCGACTATTAAGGTAATGAAATTTAAGTGACAAAATCTTTCGATACTTTACGGTACTGAAGTAATGCGATCAAGACCATAAAGGTGTGAAATTTCGACACCCAATAGACAAAAGCCTGAAGGCAAGCTGAAACAAACAGTGATATAATAAACCATATTTAGTTCCTCCAAATGGCTGGTTTAAATTTGCATTATTTATGTGCAATGGAATCACATCCTCTGTGAAGTCGCAGTGGGATGGAACTGATGTATTTTAACACTGAACTGCCTAAACATGTTACGCAAATGCAACTTAAACCAAAATGGCTTTACAAATTTCAGGCCTTTATTTGAACATATTGTACTATAGATGGTATAAAGGAACATAATGAACACATTGCTTTGAAATGAAATAAGACATTAGTGTTTGTATAATAGATGTCCTTTACTGAACCCTGTTTTTCTTTTCCAGAGGTCTAATTCTTTCAGAGCTAGATTATACCTGTGATTGTTCGCCAAACAATCGCCCCCTGCATGCCTGCCCGCCTGTTCACTTCTCCTTTTATCTGTGATTTGTGAAGTAAGTTCTCCGAGCAGCCTCTGAACATGTGAGTACACGGGGCTTGCCTGAGGGCCGTGTCAAACGCACCCCACAAAAACTGCGAAATGTAAGATACACGTTCTTCTCTCTCTCTCTCTCTCTCTCTCTCTCTCTCTCTCTCTCTCTCTCATACACAAACACTCTTTTTTTCTTTTTCCTTTTTTTTAGAGCCTGCTACAAGGGAATAGTAAAATACAGCTGGAACGCCCCTCCACTAGAGATGGACAATATATTATCTGTTAGTCTTTATCGCTATACGCAACTGACTACTCGGGGCTTTTAAGTGGAAGGGCCCTAAAGGGGGCCTGTACTAAAAGAATTTGCTTTGGTACACAGTTTTTAATGTTATGACTCTTTTTTCAAGAGTATGACATGCAAATGATCCACTGTGCAAACGTTGACATGTGTGCTGTGAGCATCTTGTCCAAGCACAGATGTTCTCTGTGTCCTTGGATGCATGGATGCATTAACTTGACACAACAAACTTACATATTTCTGGTCAAAAATACTACAAGCCAATCTTACTGCAATCCACACCACATCAAGAGTTCACGTCACCTGCTCCTGAATTATACAGAACATAAGGTCACGTCCATGGCACACTTGCAACAATTGTGTGAATCTTTTGAAATTTTGGAATGAGAAAGTTTCAAAATGTTAAAAAAAGTCAACCGGTAACCAGTTAAAATGGCTTTGACACACATGCTGACATAAAACTGAAAACATAAAGAACATAAAAAAATGATCTTAACAATCTTCAACAATGTAATCAAGATTTAATTAATGTAATGAGTGATAAGCCTGGTTACCCATTAGCTCAGTCCTGTCCCCTTTTACTGATGGTGTGAAGGGACTCTTTGTGTATGTACCCAGAATAAACAGCAAGCTAATGTTTGCTAATGCATTGTCCATAAATTGGATGGTAGTTTTGCAATAGCTGTATATAGCAATATAATTGTAATATGTTTTTTTCATATTGTGCAACCAGAATATTGAACTACTGACTTAATTGCCCCTAAATTCGCCCTTTCCATTGCTAGAGTGATTATTTAGGAATTTAGGAACAGTTTATCTAGGTATTTTTTATGTTATTCTTTTTTTTTGTTTTTCAACTACTACAATATTGTGTCATCAGCGTAGAATAAGACCCAGGAAACATTGCACATTAAAGGCAAATGCTCTTTTCTTTGAACAGGCAGCAAGGAAGAAACAATTCTCAGCGCTGACTGATACGGCCTGGAAGCAGACCACAAAATATGTCATATATAATTATTTCACACGGCCAAATGCAGGTAAGAAGCTATAACTTGTGTGAAGTTTGCCAAAAGGTTGTGCATTTACTTCAGGAAATCACAAACTAATTATTAACTAGCCTGATGGTTTTCTATCATTTTATCATCATTGTAATATCCTCTCATTGTTATTATCAAATCAGAGAGTCACATGGCCAAATTCAGTTTAAGCTAGCTTTCAAATATCAAATGGAAAGGTCTGCATGAACCAGTCCAGAGTTTTTTACTTTGTTGTCATTGACCATTTTAGTGATTAGATTTTGCCTAAGAGCCTTCAACCACCCCTCCAACCACCCTCCAAAAACTGCTATAGTCATTTTCTGCATCCATTCAAATGTGTTCAATTTGATGTTCATTCATTATATATGTAATGCTACACCCATGCCACAGTTCATGTATCTGTGTGAATCTGCTTGAATTTTGGAAATGGGGTAATAAAAGTTACATTTAGAAAATTAAATAAGAAATGTTGTTATTGAATGGTCAAAAATGTAAGATTTCATTATTTGAAACCATAAATTTGTCAAAGAAATCCATCCACTGAGCCCTGGCAAACTGTTATAGCACAAAAGGCCCGATCCATCTACAAATAGCAGAGATTCTGCGGTGACTTGAGGCAATTACACCACCTAGTGGCTACAACTGTACATTACCGTTGTACAAGCGCCACCATGTGGCATCCAGATGAGTTAATAACTTGAACTTTGACCTTGTTTTATGACTACTTCTACATAAGGAAGACAAAACAAGACAGGCTACTGATGTTAAATATGTGAAAAAAAAAGGTTGCCTTCAACAGTGGAGGATAAAATTGGAGACCAAATCCTTCTGAAAAAGTTCTGTAACAACATTACAAGAAATTCTACAATTCTTGCAATCTTATAGTAAATGTGGACAATTACTGTTGTTTACTCTAGGATGTTTAGAGGATCTTAGAGATTATTTTAAAAGTAGTTTGCAGCACTATAGAAATGTTATGGCTTCTTCCAGTACTTCTAATCATTCTAACAAGTAAGGATTAGTTATGCAAAGAACAACTGTGATACATCAGAACTCAACAGCGAAATAAACCTCTATTCAAAGCACAAATTATAAAATGACTCAGTTCTTTTACTCTTGACCAAGACTTTCTACTAAATATTTTGTTTGTCATTAAATTACTTGAATGTTAACCTTTCTTAATGGAAGAGTGTGTCTACTTCTACATACATAACGAAGACAACACCAGATATACAAGCTACTGATGCAGCTTAAAGGAGAACTCCACCAATTTTAAAAAATTTCAGAATAAAATTCAGACTTTGAAATGTAAACATGGTCATTCAGAAAGTGATTCATTGTAGAGAAACTTACAGATTTCTTTGCAGTTAATAGGAACCAGGGGTCACGATGACTACAACACAAATATTGCCATTTTATTTACTTCCCGAAACCTACCTTCTGAGTTTTTAAATGTAATGTTGATGATGGTAAAATAGTCACAAATCTGGAAAAATACCTTTTCTTTAGGGCCTATTTTGCCTCACAACAACCTGCATGTACCGCTCTGTCATGAATAAATAATTAAAATACATTTTAAGCCAAAAAGTCATCATAAAACTATCATAAAACAATGTGTGAGACATCAGTGATCATATATCTAACCATTTCATGTACTTGTTTTCTGTGAGGGAGCTTTCAGAGGCTTTAAACTTTTCAGAGGTCTGGTTCCTATCACCTCCAATGTGAACAAATCTGACTGTGCAAGTTTCTCTAGAATGGAGCATTTCACACCAAACCACTCTAAATGACATTGTTTACATTTCAATCTTTTAAGATTTTTTGGAGTTCCCCTTTAAAGAAGTATTTAACAATAATGAAGCAGGAGAAGAAACCCTTAAAAAAGCTATTTTACTACAAGACATTGCATTAGTATTTCAGATAAGACACACTACAAGAATATAGAAAGGAAAATACTGTAGATTATTATAAACATTTATACTACTATACGACCAGGGTCCTTTCTGTGTGGTGTTTGCATGTTCTCCCCGTGTCTGCATGGGTTTCCTCCGGGTACTCCGGTTTCCTCCCACGGTCCAAAGACATGCAGTCAGGCTAATTGGACATGCAAAATTGCCCCTAGGTGTGAGTGTGGGTGTGAATGTATATGTATGTATGTCTGTCTCCCTGCGAGGGACTGGTGACCTGTCCAGGGTGTATCTTGGCTTCCACCCAATGACCGCTGGGATAGGCTCCAGCTCCCCCTGCAACCCAGAAGGATAAGCGGTTTAGAAGATTTCTCATAAATAAGACTTAATATCTCTTAATAATTGCTCACTATCTCATAATAATGAGAAGACTTTCTCATAAATAAGTCTTAATATCTCAATAATTACTTTCTATCTCATAATAATGAAAAAGCTTTCTCATAATTATGAGAAAGTAAGTCAGAATTATTAGATACTAAGTAATAATCATAAGATGCTAAATCATAATTATGAGGAAGTCACAATTATTGGATACTAAGTCATAATCATAAGATGCTAAATCATAAAGAGAAAGTCACAATTATGAGAAAGTAAGTCATAATTATGAGACATTAAGTCGTAATCATTAGATAAAATCTCATTATTATGAGCTAGCAAGTCATAATTGTGAGAAATTAAGTAATAATTATGACATGCTAAGTCATAACTATGAGAAAGTCCTTATTATGAGAAAGTAAGCCATAATTATGAATGTTTTTGTCATTATTATGACTTACAAAATAGCTGTCTTTTTCCAAGTGACTTCCATAGAAATAAAACTGCATTCAGAACGTTAACTAAATCTTTTAGTCTGTCTTTATTTCTACTGAATCTTTGGTTTCGATCTTAGAAATAACAGCCTTGTGGCGCGGTGGTTTGTGGGTGTGCGCTGAGAAGTAAAATGGCGGACTTGGCAAACGAAGGTAGGCAATGGGGTGAAGCGATGAAACCACAAAACAAAGGAAATAAATGACTTTTGAGAAGTGCAGAAACGGGTATTTGCGTATGAGAGGACAGTAATTATTCTTCTTTCCCCTTCGTTCGTGAGGGCGGTCTTCTTTTGCGAGCTGGCTGCCGGTTAATAATGAGTGAGTGTTCAGCTGCTGGAGTTAGCACGGTTAGCCGTTAGCTCAGTTCTGTGCACCCGTACAAGCGCTCTGAGGGGCTCTCCTGTGTAAATACCCCCATTAAACAGCGGGCTAATCGACTAGCTGTTTTCCCGGCCTTTCTCTTTCCTTTAAGCTCGGCTAGGTACGGCACTAGCAGCACTCCGTGAGCTCGCTAACCCTCTCTCTTAGTTTTGGCCGAGCATCTCCATATCGCCCGCTCGGTAGTTAGTTGATTAGCTGATTAGCGTTAGCAGCGAAAAAAAAACACAGTTTTATTAAAGCCGTACATAAAAACGATGTGCACTTTATACCACATTTTTTCACCATGACGCGTCTGGGGAAAAAAGCCTCTCATGGTCAGTCCATTACGGTAGGTTAGGAGGTTAAAAACACAACTGTCTGGCCTGTGGTATTAGTAAATTTGCGTAACGTAGCTGTTAGCTAGCTCACATTATTAGTTTGATGCTTTCGCTATTTTGAAATCCTGACCACAGCAGGCAGGAACTTGACCAAATATCGGATAACGTAGCTTAGCTGTCTGTAGTTAGATCCCCCAAACAACGATAGACCGGTGAATTTGTGTCTAACACTTAATCTCATGACAGATCAGTTAGTGTGGCTGATGGGTTACTGTATTTGATGGGTAAAACGCGATTTCTTTAGACCGGGAACCGTAGCCAGCATGAGCATTGAGCGGCCAGACAGTCTACCTTGTGCACGTCGCTTTTCTGCCCAGACAGCTCAATGCCTTTAACTATTTAGAGGACATTAAGTCACCTTTGGATTAATCAATATATAAACAGAATATATAAAAGTGGATTTTTTTAGAGCGCCACAGTTGAACTTGGCGTTGACGGCGCTAACATGCTACATTTGCGATGAAAATTGGCTTTGGTGAGCTTAGACGGCTATTCTTAGCTAACGCTAGTCGCCACCAGCGTAGCCGTGAGGCTCGACGGTATTTACTACCACCGGCGACAGTTTAGACTTTCTAGGAGACTGACTTGGCTGCAGATTCTTGTCCTGATCAAGATGAAACGAGCTAGCTAACGTTAGCTAGCTTAGCTACATAATGTCGTCGTTTTGTCATTCTCACGGGGTGGGGTAGTTAGCAAACTGCCTGCTAACGTATACTCGTGGCGTGCCGTGCACTTTTGTTTTGAGACAGTTGATCTCACATCACCCACATCCCTCGATTCCTTGTGCGCGATTCGTGCATCCTTAATGACTGAACCCGAGCATGAGGCTCTGAACAGGTGGCTACATCACTTCGCCAGGCCAGCCGTGTGTGATGTTCGCTATCTGGCTGGTGAACCTAACCGAGATGTGCTCCTAAATCCGGGCCCGCCCACCCCAGCTCTTAGTGTAACGAAAGCCCTGCTGCACATGACTCTGCTGGAGCTTCGCCTGCTCTGACCATCTACATTACATTCATTACTGTGTGGGGTGGTCGCATTACAGTGACCACCCCCAGAGGTGTTACTGCAGTCGCCTCCAAGGGTGATTATAGTCAGTAATTGTAAAAATTACAACTTAAAGTATGTGGAGTTCATCCAGTAACGTACGGAAATGAGTTAATTATGAATAAACCACGTTTATATGAATGTATATATACATGTGTGTATATATATACAAGTACAATGCATGCATATGATAGACTATACAGTGAGGTGAATAAAGGAGGTCTAAGATACTGTTTTCCATCCATCTTCTCATCCTTAAGCTCAAATATATATATATATATATATATATATATATATATATGGATGGAAAACAGTATCTTAGACCTCCTTTATACAGTGAGGTGAAGAGGTGAATAGTCTATCATATGCATGCATTGTACTTGTGAATAGCCCAGATTTTTCAGCTAAACTAATACTTTTGAGCAACACAGATTGAGCTTAGTGACTCATTTTTTTTTAAATCAGGATACAGTTACAGCTGTTATAACAGTTGATTTGGAGGACCACTGCTGCTAAAAATATTGTACAGGGCCAAGGCAGCTCATATGTCTTTGTTTGTTTACTGAACACGATGTGTATTCTAAACCCTCTTTAAATGTGCCAGTGTTTTATTTAGTAGGTTAGTCATTCCAAGTGCTTAAAATAACACATTCGATTTAGAAATAGGAACCTGGGTATTTGATATGCTACTCAACACCTGTGTGCTCTTGGTAACTTTAGTGGTAAATGGGTTCAGGGATACAAAAAAGAATAGCATACACACATACATGCTTAGACTGTGGCCTCATGTGTCTCAAAAGTTTGCAAAGTGGAGTCCTTTTGTTGAAAACCAATCACGTTCAGGCTTCACACAGATTTACAGACAAGAGCTACCCATTTTGACAGAAGTAGTATGCTTTTAAATGTTATTAAAGTGACCTGGCACAGGTATTGAGGTTAATTACAAAGGTGAAGGTGAAATTACACCTTCAAATTGATGGCAACTATAGTCTTTTTTCCCTCAACAGAGAAGCCTGCCATAGCTCCTCCAGTGTTTGTGTTTCAAAAAGACAAGGCACAGAAGGTAGGCCTGATTTAAGTATTATGGGTTGTATTTTTCCATCTTTTCTTTGTATCCAATTATGTCCAGAAAAGGATGGCATCCTCTTTGGAGTAGAACGATTTGGGGGAAAAATATCTACTTGTGATTTTATATTTAAGTTGCGGTTATTTTCTAGGATTCAATTTCCAGGCCTTTTTTTTGTTTGCCAAAATCGACACATCAATTTTTTCAGACTTAAGCCTTGAATATTGAGTGTAGGATGCCAGTTTGTGAGCTCTCTGTATTTGTTAAATTTCTTGAATAAAAATTAAGACAAAGGTTAAGATGAGATATAAAACTGTAGCTCTTGTGATTTAAAAGATGCATTGTTTCAGATTGCAATTTTGATTAAAAATGGTTAATTATTCAGCCCTTCCTTAGTCTTGGGTCCTCTCTGGCTTTGCTTCTTTCTTGATTTGCTATACAATGGCAACACGATAAAAATAAGTCGACACCTCTCAGAGTAAGGTGGCTGATCTGGGATCAGTTTTTGCCTTTTGTGTCAAATATAATTCTAGACAATCATCATTCTTACTAGAGGTGGGATGATGCACAAACCGAGCAAGCCAAAAACATAAATAGCCTTTCAAAGGCTGCAAAATGCTTTATTGAAAAAATGTAATCTGAAGCCTTTAAAAAGACTCTAGCAAAGAAGCTGTTTCTATCATTCTCTATTTCGTGGCACCAGAGAGATGAGTAGGATAATCTAAAATATGTATTAGTGTGCAAATTGCTGACTGTTTATTGCAGATTCATTGATAAGGTAAATTACCTTTTTTTAAAATTGAGTAATCATCACAGCCCTTGTCTCTAATGATTCTGACATGTTCCTCTCATACTGTGAGCCTGTTGATGGCATATCTCATTGTTATTTGGTTTATCTTCCAGCGTTCTGCCGAAGGATCCAGTGCAGAGGATGGAGAAGGTGCGTTTGCTTAAAATTCCACTTTGTCACCTTCAGAGTGGTAGGCAAATCAGGTTCTTCACATGCCTGATACTTATCAAGATACCAGGCTTCTTTAAAAGTTTAACAAAGAGCCTTGATAAATAGTAAGGCTAATATCGCTAGAAATGCTTTCTCTGTTAGCCACTCTGTTGCTTTTGTGCTCTTCAGCAAATGAATGCAATAGTTTGTCTCAACACAGAAATCCAGGTTGGGGCAGGATATTAAAAACAAATCTGATTTGAGCAGCATAGTTGCCTGAGATTTGCAGTGGTGTCTGGCCTGTTTATAGATTTAATCGAAGTTTCACAAGCTGTTTTTAAATAATATGACATTAGAAAGGCAGTTAAAGACTAAGCAGTGACTTAAATGCCATGGGTGGCCTTAGGTTATTGTGGATTTGTTTTTTTCAGACTCAGACAGGGAGGATGGAGAATACTGTCCTCCAGTAAAGAGAGAGCGAACCTCGTCTTTAACGCAGTTCCCGCCTTCACATTCAGGTAATGCAGCAATCCGCTTATTGTATGATTGTGTTAGGTTTTGAGTTTAAGTTGTGAAAGTCTAGATTTGTTCTACTCAGTACTGCATCTTACTGACTTTAGTCAGGTATGGTAAACCCTGCTTCAGCAAATTGTATGTGCATGTAAAATGTCCCATTCGGCTGTGCTTGAAAAGGGAGTTCCACTGATTTTTTTCAATATTTCTGTATAATAGATGGTTAAGATGTAAACAAACAAATGCTCCGTTTTAGAGAACTGTGTTAGAATTGTTCACAGTGGTGATATGAACCAGATGTTTTTGTTTTGTTTTTTTTAACTAATGTTCTACATAATGCATGGGACACAGTGAAGTACACACAAAGCAAAATAGTCCCCAGAGAACACTTTTTTTTTTAGAAATCTTTTTTTCTTAAATGTCATTATCAACGCTATATATATATATATATATATATATATATATATATTATATATATATATATATATATAAACAAACTCAAGGAACACACATACATGTGTAGGTTAACTGCTTGTATAGTTAAGAAAATATTTCTGTGTAGACATCTAGACCTTGTTTCCTACCACCACTATTAAGAAACTTAACAATAAACAACTTCACATCAGACTACTTTGAACAACTTTGTTTACATTTGAATGAAAATGTGAAAAATTGATAGAATTCCCCTTAAAGTGCAGTTATTATTTATACAAACAGCCAATGCAAAGCCCTTCATTCCTTTGAAGTGATCAGTGACATTTTTTTCATGATTTACAAGATCATGGTGTTGTATTTAAAGAAACTTTTTTTTAAATATTTACAACAGTGCTGTGTTGGTGGTTATACATAATAAAACAATCATAAAATAAAAACACTGTCCACATGGAGATGTCCGTTTGTTGTACAATTAAGTCTTATTTGCTGTTATAGAGCACAGCAGCCTTTACGCATGGCTATGAACGTGCTCTAACATGGAATAAATCATGGTGTCTACAACTACCTGTACTAAGAGGATGTAGTCATTTTTTAATAATATAATCATGATCAGTGTATAATGGGAAAATCTTTATTCTCTAACCAAATATAACACCTCTATGATAATGCTAATTTCCACTAACAGCCCTGTGGCATGTTTTATTGGCATCAGTCACTGTATGTTCACTTTCCCACACTGGATTTACAGAGCTTACAGAGGGTTATTTGCTTTTTTTTATTTTTTTATTTATTTATTTATTTATATATTCTATAGTTTTGTATGTTGTGGGCTTACAGTGAGTAGCTCAGTAAATATTTCAACTTAAAGCCTTATCTAAGTGTTACTGAATTAGCCTGTCACCAATCTGCTGAGCTGGGTCTTTTACTGCAAATACGTGCAGTTTATCACTGCAAACAAATGTGTTTGTGAGCTCATGCGTTTCTTCCTTTCCCAAACTAGATAGGAAGTGAGTTTTCACCCTTTTTGCAGGTGGAGTTCTAAGACCTCTACTCTTTTTGCTGTTGCTGTTGCTGTGATTGTTTACAACATTCAGTAGAGAACCTGTAACACATGATCAGAACATGACAGTATTATGAGAGCTTGTAGAACCGGAACTAAACCTCCAGTGCGACTGCAGCCTGTTTAACTAAGATGCAGTGGCAGTATACGTTAGCATGGGTGCTAAATGTTGTAGTAAACTGAATTATCATATGGTGGCACTTTTTTAATCAAGACTACCACCTGATCATAATATAACCATGTGGTATATCAGCTGTTATTCTAAAATGTGATACCAGTCTTCTGTGCCAGAAATGTTATCTCATCATGATGTCTAATCATAGTGTCTCTCTTCTGTTTCTCCTGCTGCAGTTTCCAAGAATAATGTGTTTATGCCCTCAAGTTTCTGCCAGTCTCCAACAGGCAACTCAGACTCAGAGCCAGGTAAGAAAGTGAGAGACTACCTCATGTAGGACTTTTAGTTGGAAATCCAAGCTCTTGTTAGAATGGAACATATATTTGGGTACTGAGGACTGAGTGTCCATATCAAATTCATTTCGGCGATGAACTGCAAGCATACCGTTATCCTTATGTGGAACCATGTCAGTTAATGAAGAGTTATTGTATTTTGTTAAAAGCTTAAGATTTTCATTATTGCTGAAATGTTTATATTGAAAAACAAGATTTTTCTTATTTAGCTGATGCATGCTTAATGATGACGATGACCGTATTGTCCAGACCAGCTGGACAACTCTAAATTTACATTGCTGTTTTGGTTGTTCTCACAAAGACACTGCTGTTATTAAGCGGCATAGCTAATGTTTTGTCTACTAAGATACTTTTACTGAAGAGATAGAAGTGAAGAATAAAACATTTCACTATTATGAAATCATTTTTAAGAAGTCATGGCTTGAGGGTCACGTTATTTATGCCCTTGGTTGTGACACCATATTCATCTTTCCATATTTGTACAGAACTTTGTGGCATATGTGGAAAAGGCTGAAAGTGTGTAATAGGAAAAGAAGTAGGTAGAGATGAAAATAAGAGAGTGCGTTTGAGACGCTCAGGGGAGCTTTTCTATTTCTGTCTGTTTCGAGTCTGAGCAGAGTAGAGAGTCAGTCAAGCAAGCTGAACCAAAATGTGCTCAGCTACCATCTTGGAGAGCACAAGAATGTGCTAAAGTAGGTCTCTGTGCCTGAAGGGGACTTATTCTAAGGGGGCTGACCAGGAAGTGGTCAAGCAGCGCTCTCTGGGGTTACCATGGAAACAGAATACTGCTTGGCTGTGGGGTACTGAATTGGGAAAGATGGATGGAGAAAGTGGGAAACTAAACTGAGCTTTATTTTAGTAGAGTGATGGCTAAGGCAGCCTTTGGGCTAGTGGTGACCTGTTTTGTAAGGTACCGCTGTGTGTGCCTATGAGAAGCTTTTGTTTGTGTCTGTGTGTGGGAGAGTGAGAGTGAACGAGAAAGGAACATGAAAAAAGACAAACATGGACAAATCAATAATTTGTCTTTGTTGTATTTATTTTATTTTCATTCATTAACTTATGTTTTCTGGGTGTTTTGTGCTGTTGAACCCTTTTTAGAGGAGAAGCCAGTTGGGTTTCGGTTGAAACCTCCGACTCTGATCCATGGCCAGGCCCCCAGTGCAGGTAAGACTCCTTCTGTGCATTGGAAGTTAGTTATTGCAGTATTTAAAGCATACCACAACAGTCTTTCTATACAAAGTCAAAAGCAAAACACGTTTTGCACTTGCTGATGCAATTTTGCCAGTTGTTATAATTATGATTTGTAACAAACTAATATTCTCCAGTTGATCAGTAGTGATGCACCGAAATGAAAATCAGTTGATGGTGGCTTAAAATTTTAGTGACTTAAAATATTAAGCTTTAGGTTGATCTCTTCCTCAGACATTTAAGAATGGCCTTTAGTTTCTGATGTAGATATGTTGGGCTTGCTCATGTAGTTTATGCTGCTTTAGACCACACGTGTCAGACTCCAGTCCTTGCGGGCCACAGCACTGCAGACCTCAGCGTTCTGCCTCATTAAACACACCTGATTCAACTCATCAGCTAATTAGCAAGGCCTTCATCAGTCAAGACAAGGGAGAAAACATAGCAGAGCTGTGGCCTGGAAGGAACCCAGTTTGACACGCCTGCATTAGACCATTCGGTTTCAGATCCAATCCATTAGTAGGCTCTTTTGCAGGTGTTCCAAGTCAGAAGCCCAAGGAGCAGCAGCGCAGTGTCCTGAGACCTGCAGTTCTGCAGGCACCACCCACCAAGATCCTCACAGAGCCCAGCAAGAGCAGTGAGTACACTGTCACAGCCGTCTATTCTAATGTGACCACAGCTTTACAGACATATAGCAGAAACATTCACATTCAGTCCTGATCCTGAGCATACTTTGTGATCAGTACTAAAATACAGTTGCCTGTAACCCATCGATGAAATCAAGCCCCAGGACTTTGTAAAAGGTTTGATGCTTTCAATTTGGCCATATCTTAAGTGCTGAAGGAACCCCCATAATTGGTTGCTAATGTGACATACAGTTGTCCTTTGAATGCACCTATTTATGGGATGACTTTCTCTGATGAGTTGGGAGCAAAAACACTTGGCACGGAACGTAAAAATGGTTCTAGCCAATGTTTGATGGTCTTGCTAGCCCTGGTGGGTTGCTTATTACAGAGCCTTTACGAAGCAGAGGTTTCTTTGACGGCTGTGTTTTGACAATGCTAATTAATGGTTTTCAAACCCAGAAACCCACAGGTATGTTGGTTAGTGTCAATAACAGTATTTAAAATTATAAGCAATGGCAAGGCTGCTAACTTTTTCTTTTGCGCACAGACAGCCGTGTTCAGCTATAGAATTTCCATGTGCAACGGTTTGATACGGATGTACATAGAAGCAGCCTCAAACACTGACAAGAAACATTGTTTTAACTTGCATTGTGTTTAACGTGTCAGAAGCGTATGCTTAAGCTGGCAGTATACTACTAATTCTTCAACATTTCTGCCTAATTCAGTAGTTGAGTAAAACAAAGACATGGTTCATTGTAGAGAAACTTACTGAGTCAGATGTTTTTACGGTGGTGGTGATAGGAACCAGAGGTCACAATGTCTACAGCACAAATGTAACCATTTTATTTATTCTCCAAAACCACCAGTAACCTACAGGTGAGGTTTTAATATGTTATGTTGATAATATTAAGATGGAGGTAAACCCAAAAAATATAATTTTTTGGGGGGACTATTTTGCCTTACAGCACCCTGTATGTACACTCTCACCATGAATGTGTTTAAAAAATGTTTTTTTTGGCAACGATCTTCTCACAAAAATTTCTTAGGCAGCGTATAAACAATTTCATGTAATAATATTCTAAGAGGGAGCTTTTAGAGTCTGTAAACGCTTCAGATGTCTATCACCACCACTGTGAAACATGTTGACTCTAGGTTTCTCTAGAATGGAGCATTTCATATCAAACCAATCAGAATTATTTTGTTTACATTTTAGCAACATTTTAGTCTTGTTTTTACATTGCAAGCTTCAATGGAAAAGTTTCCATGCGCTTTGTTTCATTTTTATTAATGTAATGAGTACTGACTAACTGGCACTGTTTTCCCCACTAGACGCAAGCTGTGGAACAAATGGCGTGGGGAAGTTTTCAGATGCAGCGACAGAAGGCCGGTCAATTTTCATGAACAACACAGACAGCTCAGACAAATCACCGGTGAGGAGGAATAGCTTGCTACACTTTTCTCTGCTTTACTCGGGTGAGACTAAATAATAAGTACACACAAACACATGCTTCTATCTCTATATATAGAGATCCATCTGTTTCTCTGCTTAATTTGTTAGCCTTCTTTAACTTGTTCGTCAAGGGACAGAATCTCAACAGCACATCACAGAGCAGGTATTTTGGGTAATGGATCATTCTCAGTACCGCAGTGACACTAATGTGGTGGTGACGTGTTAGTGAGTGTTGCACTGGCACAAGTAGATCAGACACAGCAGTGCTACTGGAGTTTTTAAACATCTCAGTGTCGCTGCTGGACTAAGAATAGTCCAACAGGCCAACACTGTTCTGTGGGCAGCATCCTCTGACCACTGACTAACAGATGAGCTATTATCTCTGACTTATTTCTGACCAATCTACAAGGTAAACCAACAAGGTAGGTCCACTTGTACCAGCACAACACACGCTAGCACCACGTCAGTGTCACTGCAGTGCTGAGAACGATCCCCCACCTAAATATATCTGCACTATGGTGGTCCTGTGGGGCTCCTGACCATTGAAGAACAGGGTGAAAAGGGGCTAACAAAATATGCAGAGAAACAGATGGACTGCAGTCTGTAATTGTGGAACAACAAAGTGCATCTATATGGTAAGTGAACCTGATAAAATGGACAGAGTGTAGATAAAAGGTGTTGTACTAAATGAAGTGACCAGTTGGTGTGTGTATATAATGTAATTGTTTTAAAGTTAATGTGCATTTTGGTTGTTGCATAAGGAAAAGCGAGCTGTAGTCATGTCGTTTGACTGATATTGATAGATTAGCTGTCACAAAGCACTACCTCATGTTCCCAGCTGAACTTGCCCTGTCACGTGTTATTCAGTCTTTGCTCTTTAGTAGTTCAGAAGTCACACATCGTTTGGCAATTCTGTTGTTTGTTTGTAGCTTTTTCTGCTGTTCACATGCTAATTTTTTATGTGTTAGTGTTGTCAAATGCTGCTACTGAAGCTTAATTCTGCTTTATTGTGTCCACCTTTTTGCCATGGATGTGACCACATGCAGAAGAAAGACAAAGAAGGGGGAGAGAATGGCGGAGAAAAAACGGAGGAGAGTGCACAGAGGAAGGATGCGGTGGTCGACTCGGGTTTTGTGTTTGGGCAAAACATCAAAGAGAGGGCAAAGGTCAGTGGCCGTTTGTGTTAATGTGGATCATGTAATTGTAATATGGATCTTTTCAGATCAGTGATTTAATGTTGGAGTGTCTATATGTTTTAGATGTTTAAGTCTCATTTTCTCCACAGTTGGATGAGAGCAGCACAGTCAGTGAGTCTAAAGACTCAACACAGGACTCACAGTCTGGAAGTACTAATTACTTCCTGCAGTACATGGGAACTTCAAGGTTACTACCACTCACTTTTCCTCTTTCTGATAGTTTGTCTTTTGAATTTTCTTTTTGTATTTTCAGTTTCTTTTTCTCCCTTCCCTTGGGTTCAGTCACGCGATTGCTCGGGAATTGTCTGAGTTTGTTTGTCTTTTCAGCTCTCTGAATGCTACCAATAACACAGAAAAAGGAGCCAAGTTTGTTTTTGGCCAGAACATGTCGGAGAGGGTGCTGGTGAGTACATGCAATGCTGCCAAACAAAAAATTACTGGCAGTACTCAGTGGTTTGGGCTTGTAAATGTTATCATAACATAGTAGCGATACACTGCAATTTCAGAGCATCTTGAAGAAATCTGAGTGAATCTGAGAACATAGAAGGGCAATGTGCATTTTATGTTTGTTTCAGAGTCCTCCAAAGGGCGGTGAATCAACACCAGAGGGTGGTAAAGATACAGCTTCAGCATCAGAGCCCTCGTCACAGGAGACCACCCCAGAAAAGAGTACGTGTCCCCTGCTTAAAGTAGCAATAGCATTAGTTGTTCAAGTCATTACAAACTTGCCTCAAACTGTGTCTAGTTATTTTGTAACATACTTTTATCTATACAAATTGACTTAAAATATTCAGGCTTTAAGGTGGCAGCTGCTACTAATTTGTCTACCTATGATGCCTTGTCAATTTTTATAGGTAACAATGTTGTACAGAAGAAAGCTTAACTTGCTGGAGAAAGCACAGAACAGTATTATTCGTGCTCAGATATCTTCCCTGTACGACATCCCTGTATCTTCAAACGAAACAAAGATAAGAGATAATTGGCTTCAGTATACAGCAGCTTGACTGTTTGTGACGTAACCATCACCACAGTCTGCAGAGCAGCTGTGCCCATATGCTCCCATGTGCGTGACCCTGCACCTCAGGGAGGCGCACTGCTATTCAAATACATAGATTTCCACCGTGATATTCAAACCACCACTGGTTTAGAGATGCCTGTTGCCTATTTTAAAGCTCTTTTAAAGCTCATAATTTCAGATTTAAAAAAAAATAAACTATGATATAAAGGAAGGTATATCTTTTCATTTATCTTAATGAAAGAACAAAAACATAACTAAAGTTTGAAATATTTAATTCAGATGCAATTGAAAAGACATGGTAATCCTGTAAAATGTTTTAAAATACAGAAATGCACACTGGCTCTTATAGAACACTTTTCATACTGGTGGCAGCTCAAAGTGCTTTACAGACAGATGATAAAACTTCACAGTAATAGAAGAAACTAAGTATTAAATTAAAATATAAGACAATGACACAGATCAAATGAAAAAGATCAATATAAAAGAGAAGTAGAATTTTAATTAAGTACTAAAAGATACCTTTTCAATGTTTCTCAGAAGTGTCCTGAGCTTGACTGTCTAATAAAAGGTGAAGTTGAGTTCCACAGTTTAGAAGAATAAGAACCAAAAGAGGCCTCTCCAGATTTTCTGTATTTTACAGAACATATTTACAGAAGGCCACTATCTACAGATCTAAGATCACATGTTGGAACATGAGCAGACAGACATTTTGTGTTGCTGCTAGGTAACTTAGTCATCAAAACTAGTTAGCAGAGCTTTAAAATCTATCCTAAAAGATACAGGTAGCCAATGCAGTTCTTTTAAAATGGAGCTGATATGAGCTCTCTGTCATGCTGCTGCATTTTGTACGAGTTGCGGAAAATACAATTTTTTTTTTAATTTTTTTTTTAGGAAGCCCGAAAAAAAGAGTGTTGCTGCAGTTAATTCTGCTTGCAGCAAATGCATGAACAAGTTTTACTCTGGCATAGAAATGAACTTGAGCAGTTTCTCAAACAATAAAAAGTTACTTTAGTGACTGTTTATATGCGGGATAAAAATGAAGCTCAGAATCTAAGATTACATCCTTACATAATTTTACATACTTCAGGTATGGTGTGGACGTTATAGTTGAGGTTCATTTCAGTACTGTCTCTGTGTTCAGATCATAGTGTGACGGAGTCTCTAGAGGAGTCAGCAGCAGCATACACCAAAGCCACCGCCAAGAAGTGCATTTTGGAGAAAGTGGAGGTCCGCACAGGAGAGGAGGCAGAGAGCAATGTGCTACAGGTCTCAAATGCAAAACAAATGCTTTTCATGTTTAAGTTAATGTTTTGCTTTCATTTGGGTTTTATTGATACTCGTATTAATTATGTTGGTTGATAATCAGCAGGAGAACGGCTCATCCGCTATAAAATTTGTCAGATTTGAGTTTTGTCACAACAGTTATCCAGTTTACCTGGATGGCTGAGCCAGGGATGTTCCGTCATGTTTCAGATGAAAATGAAAAGTATTCCACTTTGTTTTTGAGGCAGTGGATTTGACTGGACTTTTGCGTTAAGTTAGCCTTAGCCTATAATGAACCCCAGAGTGGTAAGGAGCCACCTCGGTCAACGCTGCAGTACCGTGGCCTTGTCTGCACAACAAGCCATAGATCAGCTGGTACTAATAGTGGCAATGATTGTAATATTTTACAAATTTCAGGAGTGTCTAACTGTCAGATGCATGCATGTATGGGAGCGCGCATGAGATAGATGACTTGAGAAATCCAGTAAAGCTAAAGTTAGCTTCTTATTTCAATTTCACGTTCCACCTTAAATAGTGCAACAGTTACATTCAGGTGTCAAGTGTAATGGCTGCTCTAATTAAGGTGGAATGGAAAATTTTAATAAAAAACTGGCAAGTAAGTGGACAACTTCAGTCTTGAATAATTTTTTTCCCCCAAGTTGTTGTTACTGTTATTACTGTTACTATTATTATTATTGTTGTTAAAATGTGAAGCAATATCATGGAATAATAAGCCACTGTTAATCTGTTAATGTCTACAATGGTTTTATAAAAAAAAAAAATTATATATATATATATATATATATATATATATATATATATATACACACACACACACACACACTCTCAAGCTGTCAGAAATTTTCATTTTACTGTGAAATAAATTTTTGACCATACTGCCCATAACCAGTATTGGTATTTGTGAGTTTTCCTTCATGGAATCATTTTCACAAGGCCATTTTGTACACCCATTTGCCAGGTGTTTGAAGAAACGGTCAACTTTGTTTCTGACTATTACAGTAGTCACTATTCATACTCTGAGTACATAGATATTTGTACTATGCAACTTCTCTGGAAATTCATCTGATTTGTGTGCTTTACATTACTTTTTTTGTGTATTTGAATGTGCTTCAACTTGGAATTAAACAGATGAGCCTTTAGTGGAAAAGTAAAACTGTGCAAGGAAAAGAAATAAATCACACATGACCATGTATCCAAATATGGCCTTGCAGAGTTTTTTTTACCTTGTCTTTGTCCCACAGATGCAGTGTAAGCTGTTTGTGTTTGATAAGCCGGCTCAGTCGTGGATCGAGCGAGGTCGAGGGCTGCTGAGACTCAACGACATGGCCTCCACAGACGATGGCACGTTACAGTCCAGATTAGGTCAGAGCAGCTTATTGTTCCACCTGCATTCTCATTTATTTTGATATTAGATGGATGCATGCTGTGTTCTTAATAAAGTGCACAAAATAGTGTTTAGTAGTTTTCATGTCTGAATTGTTTTTGTTTGTTTGTTTTTCCCTTTCTCTCTTGCACTTTGTTCCGTAGTGATGCGCACCCAGGGCAGTCTGCGGTTGATTCTGAACACTAAGCTCTGGGCTCAGATGCAGGTGGACAAGGCCAGTGAAAAAAGTGTCCGCATCACTGCCATGGACACAGAGGACCAGGGCGTCAAGGTCTTCCTCATATCGGTATGTTGAGAAAGACTGCTTAAGTGTGTGTGTGTGTGTGTGTGTGTGTGTGTGTGTGTGAGCATGCATGCATGTGTGTGCTTCTAAACTGGTGAATAATTTTAATATGAATCCTGCAGTTTAATGGGGTTAAATGTTGATGTTAGGGGTTTAATGTTGATCCTGATGCAGTGTTTAAAGTTGCTAGGAAAAAAGATGTTCACATGCATTAAATCAATATAAATAGATCTTCAAACAATAGTGGCAGTAAAGAAAGCAAAACTCTCAAGTCACCGTGTGGTCCAATACATGATAGAAGTAAAGGTTGCATCTCACAGCAGCACGACATCAGTGTGCAAAAAAAAATTAAATAAAAGCCACCAAATTTAAGCATTTAATGCTCCCGCTTCTAGTGGGTAAGTGCTAAAACTAACAAGTCTAAATGGCTAAAGTCAGCCCCATAAGGTAGTATTGCACTATGTTAGGAAAACGGAACATCTCTTAGAAGAGTGGAACGTTTCAGTGTTGAGCACAGTGTAGAAAAATTAATGCCATACTGAGAAAGCAATTCAGTACTGAAAGGGTCAGCCTCCAGACTACCATCCAGCTGTCCAGCCCTTGTGAGGAGGATAGTAGTGCGTGGGACAATGGTAAGACAGTGACGTTGTGTGTGTAGAAACTTATTCATTAAAATACTCTGTAATAAAGTCATAAGCATGACAGTCGTTCACGCTAGCCTTAGTGTTTAATGCAGAAACCTTTAGCCAGTGATAGAATGATAGAAAACAACAAAGGTGATAATTTGAAAAATAATCAGTGCATGATAAATGAAGTAATGTTTACTTTAAATGTATTAACAGTTTAGAGACTCTAATGTGCCTTTAAAAGCTTTATTTTTAAAAACTCATTCAAATAAATTTGCATAATTCTCACTGAAACAGGAACATAATTGTTGGATTAATAGTTCAATCTGGAAAAAAATAAATAAACCAACTATAGAAGTAATCATTACTGAATGAGTACTGGTGGTTCCTGGTCATGGATTGCACAGACAGATATAATCAGTATTTTTGTGTAACATTTCTTGTCAGTAACTGGATTAGGTATGGTTTCTCTTTGGAGCTTAAGACTGTCTGACTGGTTGTGTGAACTGTGTGCAACTGAGTGGTAACTGAGTTCAGTAGAGACAAATGACTGGTTTGTGTTCTGCAGATGGGAAGATTGCTACCTGGGAATTTAGACTAGTAGTGCAGTGGTTCTCAGTCGATGTCCTTGGTGAACCATGCACTTCAAAGTAAAGTATTTTGCCCGGTTCTGTCAGCCTATTGATCTAGGTTTGAGAGTCAGCCAAGCTCATAGTTTGAAGAGCTGTACAATTTAAAAACACCAAGAAATAAATACAAAAATAATGCAGATTTGATGGAGAATTGCTAAACTACTGCCAGGCCTATGGTGGGTCTTCAGTCCACTCAGTATCTAACAATGTAGACTACATCTTTCCTAAATAGGCTGTAGCTTATGTAGCAAGCTGTTTGCTATCAGTTGCAGTTAAGGGTGCCTTGATGGGTCTGAGCAGAGGTCTGATTAGAAGCATGAGTATACTTATTTTCTCAGGCTACTGTGGTCCTGTTGGCACCTTGTGTCAATATGCGTTTTTGGTGATTGGGTCACTTTCAGATTTCACTTGACTGCATGAAAGATGGAGGTGACTCATAGCGGGGGGGAAAGTAAACAAAAATAAAACGGAAACAACGTATGCATTGGTCTCTCTTCCCCTGCAGGGCCGAATGGTTCTGAGCACGGAGGATAACCGTTCCAGTGGCGTTTCCACTCAGACACAGTTCAACACGGAATGCCTAAAAACTGGACTCAACCCGGTTTTTTCGGCACAGCTAGCTAACCGTCCCTCGTGGTTTATATTTGTGTTGTGCCACCGCGTCCTTCTGCGTCACTTGAAACTTGACAATAATGAAATAAGTTTACTTCGCTCACATGGAGGGCAAATAAATAAAAGCAGTGCACAATTTTAAACCCACCATTTAATAAACTTAAAAGCTTCAATCTAACACCAATTTCTAAATATTGAAAAGCACTGATAACCAAGAGAGAGTAACTGGTAAGCGTTAGCTTAGCTAGCATGCTGCCAGCTCTGCTCACTACAGAACAGGTTCGATTCTGATGAGCAAAAGGTTTACTGACACAAATTTAGATGATAATGACTCAGCTCTGAGGAAGCGAAGTCGAGTGGCTGAGGTTGGAGGGACAGAAAGCCGAAATTAAACCTGTTGTCAAAGCCGAAGTTAAACCTGGTGTCTGGAGCTGGAGCCTCCTAAATAAGCTAATGCTAGCTTGCTCCTCTCTCCTAGTTAACTTAGCATAGCTGAAGAGATACAGACAACCCGGTGCAGGTTAGATTCAACAAAGTGGTGCTTTGCCATCACAAGTACAGATGATAAAATCTTATAACAGTGAGAGCAAAGTTGACTGTTTGGCGGTGCAGTACGGGCTCTGATTAAAAACACCTGTTTAGAGGATAAAGACTCATATCTGAGAGTACAAATTAGAATGACCAGTGTTGAAGTGACAAAAAGATAAATAGTCTTGTTCTGTGGTGCTTTGAGCTGTACTCGGCTAATGTAGCTAGTTTTCTGGCTACAGGTGAAACCCACTGTACAACAGGCTGTTTCAGTAACAGATTCTCAGTAACACCTGTTTAGAGGATAAAGAAGATGAGAGCACGCTGAGAGACTAGGGTTAGAGTGACCGATGGAATCAAATGTGTTTTGTGGTGGGTGGTGTGCATAGCTATTAGCCTGTTAGCAGTTAGCCACTCTTTTGTGTAGTTTTCTCGCAGCACAGAACGGCACAGTACAGCCCTGAGAACAACTTGGCTCGATAGTGGAAAAGCGGCAGTTGATGTAGATTTTGCTCAGGTTAAGTAAAATCGGATCTCATCTGGTCATACTAGGGATGCATTTTAGTGAAAAGTGTAAATGGATTTCAGCCAAAGTATGTCCAGACACAGTCTGGACGTGTAACACGTTAATGCAAAGTGTAAACAGGTTCTTTGTGATATTGACATGTTACCTGCCGTGCTGACATGGGTTTCTGGAGAAAGATGCTGTGGAGGTTGAGTCTCCCTCAGTCGGTAGGTTAAGGCTAGGAGCAGCCTCGTTTTTCCATGTATATTCAAAGCACAAACACACAGACCTTGTCTTGGTAGTGAACAAAAAAATACCCAAGTCGACACATTTACAGCATTATTGTGGCTGATTAATTGGTTAAATTGACATTTTGTGCAGTATTAAAACTTCAAATAAGATTTTTATTGATAAGATTGTGATACAGCTAGACCAATAATACATTGTGTCTCTATGCATGAACATGTATGTCTTTTATCACAATTGAAGGCAAACGTATAAGTTACTGAGTGCTTGTATGTCCACCAAATTCCTCGGCAAAAAGTGAAAACCCCATGTGTAAAACTTGGAGCATTTAATGTTGGAAGTGTGAAACTAATCAATCAAAATTAAGAAAACGATGTAAAAAAAAATAAATCAAACTGGTGCAGACTTGAGCAAACTAACTGGGCATGAAAACACTAAAAATCTGTGATATAAAATGATTGTTCTATCAGGGGAAAAAAGGAATTTATACTCTGCATGTTGTATAGTTTTGTAGTGCGATTCATGTGTTTTATCCCACTCCTCTTGTTCTGCAGGCCAGCTCAAAGGACGCAGGGCAGCTGGCAGCAGCGCTGCACCACCGGATCCTTGCCCTGCGGAGCCGTGCTGAACAGGAACCTGAGAGCACACCTGTGCCACCTCAGACAGAGATCCCGCAGTCCAACGAGGAGGACAGCGATGACGATGAACTTGCTAACAACAACAACAACAGCAGCAGCAGCAGCAGCATCACCACTGCGGGGAACACCAGCGCCAGCGGTAGGCCTTTTCCTGCTGTGGGATGTTCAGCATATGAGCTGTTTTAGTTGGATCAGCACAATGCAATACTTGTCAATCAATCCAAAATATTCATACTTTCCTTTTTACTTTTCTTTTTTCCTTCAAGAGATTAACCATGATTTACCATTTGAGAATAGTTATGCTCCTTCCATGAATCAAAAATATGCATATAGTGCTATTTGAAGCAATCTTCTATTATTACATAATGAGAGTGGTAACTTTTTTTTTCCCCCCTCTTTCCCCAGGCACCTCTGAAACTTCTGGCGAGCCCCCGGCAGCTGAGAGCACATAACACCATGCACAGCTGCCTGACTGAAAACTGCTAAACAGGGTTGGGTATTTTGTTTTTTGTTTTTGTTTTTTTTCTCCCCCTGGGTGGACAGCCTTAACCACCGTGACTATCAGCCCAGTGCTGTTGGGTCCTTCAGCTCCAACCCTGTAGCAGAGCTTCAGCATCTCTCACATAAAACTTGTGTAGTTCATTTTCCCCACTTTTGCATTTATTGTAAATCTGGAATTCAGAAACATTTTTTTATCATTTTGTTTGTTTATTTTGGTTCTGTTTTAGTTTCCTGGACTGCAAACAAACAAAACAAAAAAAAACAGAAAAGAAAAACAGAGACTTTTCCATTTATGGGTTTGGACTTGGCTGCTCATCATATTGATGAGTGTGAGGGTATTCCTCTCTCTGTTTTAAGATACGGCACATGTCACAACTGCAGTTTCTACCGCAGGACCTTTTTTTACTTTCTTGCTCTCCCACTTTCCTCTGTCTTTTTCCTCTTTCTATCTCTCTCTCTCTCTCTCTCTCTCTCTCTCATGCGCTCCTCCATGACGTCATTGCCCAAAATCGTCCAGCATCCATTCAGTAGTTTCATGTCTCTCAAACCTTGGACCCCCTTCCCCACCATCACCCCTGTTTTTGATAGCTGTAATCTTTTGCTCTGATTCTAACTTATTTCCAATGGTTCCACCAAGCATCTCTGGTTTTTCCATGCCAATATTCTTACTAGTCTGCTATGATGGTAGTTAGGTAGATCTCTTATTGATGTAATGAATAAAGGACTAAACCAACACACGGACTGTGCTATTGTGGATCTCTGCTTCTAGAATAACCCCAGCTCTGAGAAGAAGAAGAAGGAAAAAAAGACAAAAAAAGGGAATTGACTTCGCCCGTCACCATTATGGAGTTACCAGCATCTGCCTCGCAGGTTTGCATATGGACAGATGTGCTTATTTCTCTTTGATTTGAAAAAGATTACTGAAGTTTAAGTTGACATCTCTACAGATACTCATTTTTATTTTCCATATTCCGAAGGTTTGTAATATGTTAACTTTTTTATTGTTTTATTATATTAACTTTTTATCCATTTCATGTCATTGGAGACAGTACAGTGGAGATTTTGTTTTTCTTTGTGTGTTGAAATTTGGAGTGCATTTAGAAACCCAATATGAATACTGAACTTCTCATGTAAATTTCTATGAATATATTATCATTTATTAGAACATGTCTCCAATCTCCTTTGCAAAATAAATAGTAAAATCAGAGTTTAAAAAAGGAAAAACTTTGAAATAAATTTTTGTCTAATGTCAAACGTGGTGCATCAGTTACCTTGTTTTTCCAAAAAGAAAGAGGCTGGGTTTGTTAGTGAACATTGAAATGTCAAAGTTCTGAAATGACTAGAGCTAAATGTTTAACAGTGAACAAAGATATGCAGTCATCAGCTAGCAATGTTTTACATAATACCAATTGGTGGTTCACACCTTTGTTCACTAGCGACATTGTTGCTTCCCTAAAGAAACGTTTCAACAGCTACAGTTTTGGCTCGTCAGTGGAAGTAAGCGCACATTGTTCAATGTCATTTTTAACATTAGCTACTTTTGCATTGATAGAACTTTGGTTTGGGTTGTTATTATAGCACAGTTAATTGTGAAAGAAGATGAGCTTAACAACTGCAGTTCTGCTGATAATTTGGCTGGAGTAATAGGGTGGTGTTTTTTTGTTTTTTTTTTAACTGCCCACCAGAGGGGGTCAGAGATTACTGTTACTAGGGTAGTCCTATCTGTTTCATTTATTGTAATAGATCCTTTGTACATTGTAATAAATTAAGCTTTCCTTTACGTGCGATCAAAAAAATTAGTGGTATTCCTGTGTTGTCTTATGTGTGGTGTAATGATAGTTTATGGCAGTTTTCTTTGAAATCTGAAAACATTTGATGTGCAAAAATTATAATAGACAAAAATGACAATTTTATAAAAGCTTACAGGCATGGTTTATTTTTTCAAGCATGCACCATAAACAGCAGCACCAATGCATTTTAAGCACTACCTTCAAATTAAAATTTCTGCATTAACTGCTTATTTTCCAAAAGCTTTATTTTAACTCCTTCCCCAAAATGTACAGATATGGCACTCTGTATCATTTCTAATACAAATAAGGATCTTATCAAAAATCTTAAGCAAAGTGAACAGCTGAGCAGAGTGAGCAGGATTCACAACTGTAGCTTTCAATCAAACCAGTGCAAGCTGTGGAGACTAGAGTTTCCATGCATTCTGCATCATGGTCACAAAGTAGTCGTCACTGTCAATGGATGCACTGACCCCGCTGTAGTAGTTCACAAACTCCTCCAGAGTGACCTGCCACAGAATGTTAATTCATGTCTTATTCAGCTACTTCAAGAAAATTACCACTTATTTAAAGGAATATTCTATCTGTGCTTATCTGTAGCATATAGTCAATTACCACAGATAATTTTTTTCCTTTATTTGTAAAATACGCTTATGCAAACTTTGAACAGCCTAAGTCAAATTGTCTGATTTTCTAAGTTAAAAGTTAACACATCCTATACTGAAAACTTAAATGGCATTTCTCTGCAACTTCAAGGACACACTTTCTATTTATTTGCTGAGTCTGACTTTTTTTGGACTAGTCACTTTTCATGTTTTATGTTTTTTCCAGGATATTCAGCAAATAAACAGTAATTGTATGCTGAAATGTGCACCACTGAGTTTTCTGTAGAGGTTTTGTTGTATGTTCACATAGAAAATGAATAAAACATCATTTCACTGGGGGCACACAAACATCTGCATACGACTGTATAACTTTCAATGCACCCATACGACTTTTCCCTTCCAATACTGATCTGATAACTGATCCTCAAGTATCTGCTGATACGGAGTACAAAGCTAATCCTAACTATCTAATCCAAGTACTTGTTAGGTGCCCATAAACACCTGACCTAACATTTATACCACGTATTAATGTATTTTGGTGAAAGCAGTGTTGTGAGTCAAAAAGAAACCATACTGAACTTTTAGGAATGACATTTTCTGGATAACTTCATGTTTGAATGGTTTCATCACTACAAAAGTTGCTGTGCTCTTGGGTTTATCTTAAAATGCTTACTTAAATGTGATGTTTTGAAATCCCTCCTGGTCATGCCTGCCCTCAAACTACTGACGTTACAGATTTTGCAATGGCCATTTTTAGTATTGCTTGTCTCAAGGGTGGAATAATCCCACACTGCAAATATGTATACAATACAAGCGCATCAGAAATTGCTTCATTGTACCGGTATCTGCTATTTCCGATACTGATGCTGTGTTTACGTGCCAGTATCGGAGCAGATACCAATAAGTTTTCCAAGTAACACTACTTATAACTCGCCTATAAGTGAATGGGCGCTTGCCTCAGCACCTGCCTATTCAACTACAAATGCGTTCTGAGTGAAAGTGTTTAACGTTAAGTACAAGGAAATGAAGGAAAAAGAAGGAAATCAAGGAAAAATTTCCATGTAGGCAACTGAATGGAGACTAACTCAAGGAGCTCTGGCTCAAATTCAAGGGAAATAAGCCATGAGTGATCAAGAGTGTCCGGGTCTACACTGATCTATTGAATTATTTCAGCTTGAATCTTGAGTTTAATATCACAGTTTGACTGACCTTTCCATCTTTCTCGTATGGTGAATCGAAGCTTTCGAGAAAAGAGAGGAACACTTGCTCCTCAGTCCACTGGCCGCTCTTATACTTGGGGTGATGTTTGCTATTGTATACTCCCTGCAAGTCCTCCATGGTCACCACCCCGTCACCAGTGCGGTCCAGCTTCTGGAAGGCCTGTTTGATCACCTGCATTCTGGCACTAGACATTGGGGGCTGGGGACACACGGTAAGAGCATACCCAGGTTAGTCACGAGTCAAATGCTTATTTGGAGATGGAAAAGTCTTATATGTTGGTCTGATGAAGACGTTGAGCTTGGACTGAACATACAGTATCTGCCTTGTCTTTCTAATTGACCAAGCACAGGCATTCTTTATAGCTTTTCTGTGACAAACGTTATCATACACTGTCTTGAAAAAAGTGCCAAACATGTAAGAATTTACCTACACCTGTGTCAGACTGCTTACCCTTAGTTTCTCCAAAAACTCGTTGAAGTCAATGGTGCCACTTCCATCTTTGTCCAGTATGGTGAAGATCTGCTTGGCCTTTTCATTTCTGACACACACGCCACACGTCTCCAGCCCCTTCTGAAACTCCTGCAGGTCCAGAGACTTACTACCATCATCGTCCATGATGCGGAAGGTCCTGGTTGTGACAGAACAGCAGCAGTGTCATAACCGCATTCTACTGCACATGTACTGTATGTTCTAGCATTCGTCTCATTTCAGATAAGAGGAGGAAAGGCCCATAAAAACACATTTCCTTGATGTTTTTGAAATGAAAAAGTTGGATGTACTATATATTTGATTGTGATGTCACAACCATGACACACATTTACAGTTGTATGTAGTTTGGGCACCCTTGGTCAAATTATGTCTTGTTGATTTTGGAAGTAAAAATAAGTACACATTCTCTACAGAGAACACACTTCTGCCCATTGTAATGCACAACGGCATTTATGTAGTGGAAATATTGGAAAAAATACAACATAAAATGTGGCCTGTGCAAACGTTATAGCACATTTATATTTTATTTTTCCAAAATATTAAAGTCAGCACAAACATAAAGTGTGCACTAAAATATTTGTGCAGAAAAACATTTAAGTTTGTTCCCTGTAGAAAATCAACAAAACATGTACTTTGTCCTGGGGTGTTCAAACTTATGCATATGACTGCTTTACGAGTGATGAGTGGTGTTACAGCCAACAGTCTGTAACAGAGTTACTGTAGAAGTGGAATAGAAGATGTAGGGGGAAATGATTATACGTTGTGCTGTTCCTGGCTGTTGACAAGCAAATGTATCATTGGAGCCTTCCAGAGGATCCACACATCCAAAGGAAGTGGTTCCAACATTCCTGAGGATTTCAGGCTGAACCTCAGTTTGCTCTGTACATTTAAGCCCTGGCTGCGTTCTGAGCGACGCACAATACAGGGCAGCCAATCAGAGCAAAGGTAATTTACATACATCAACCTTAAAATAAGGCACTTGAATTTGGTTGCTGGAGAAAGATGTGGTCTATATGACTTGAGGCTGCTCAGTCTGTAAGAATCCTCACTACTACAGTTAAGGTGAGATGCAGCCTCTCAGTCAGTGTTCATGGCACTTTTCCTCCATGTGTGTTTAATTCGAAAGATAAAGGATAAAGAGAGGTTGGAAAACAGTCATGTAAAAATGAGTTGCGACTGATGCTGGCACATAAAACCACACTGACGTTATACATGGACTTTGGGGGTATGGGGTTAAACCAAAAGAATATGAAGAATATGTTCTTAAAACCAACAAAGGGATCTTTACACATCCTGGCTACGTATGCATGTGCATTGGGTGTCAGCAGTGAAGGAGATGTATCAAGATAAATCAAAGTCTTGCCTTCCCAGCCCTTTGATCCCAGCTGCTCCTCTGCTCAGACACTGCTGCCTTAGCTCCTCCAGTGCATCTGCCATTTTTTCTTCTCCGGACCTCCTTGAGTTGCTCCAAAGACGAATCTAATGGTAATGGACCTGCTAGAGAGGGTCAATCAGTGGATTAGAGTGACATCACTTCCATCAAAACTTTCTCTCCTGTGGACTGGCAGTACAAAGCAACCAAGTAGGTCTGTAATGTCCCTCAGGTGCTACTGTAGTTTGGATAAAAAGCTCTGAAAGTGTGTAAGGAAGTCCTCGGAGAGTGGTGATTGGCATGGGAATAAAAGATCCGCTTGGGCAAACAAATACGCCCCAGGGGGCTTTGTTGGCTTGGAAACTAAAATGCAAATAGTGTTACTGGGTAACTATGGACATAAGCCTGTGGCACAATGGAGAACGGCCAGCCTAGTTAAACCTGCCTTATCTAATACTGTTCATATCTTCTGTTGATCATTCCTCATATAGCATAAAGCTGCAGTCTGTGCTGCATCTCAGAGCATCTCATTCATCCTACAGTGTAACCTGAACCTGACTCTGTAACCTGCTTTCATACATGATGCATTATATCTTCATCAGCAAAGCCAAGCACACTACTCAAACGAGGTATCCAAGGCAACCAAAAAATAAACAAATAAATAAAAACAGGCCGTCTAGTTTAGCACTCCTAATAATCGCTGTGTTGGACTCAGAGTGATCTAATCTGTCATTCAGAGGAATCTGCGTGAGAAAGATTAGGCTTAACAAGAAACGTGCGATTCAGAAAGATAAACAGAAGCTGCCTACCTTTCACCTCGGTACACAGTTCTTTCAGTTGAACATGCTCTTTGCCCCGCCTTCCCAGGTGGTCGTCTAGGAAGCCCCGCCCATCTATACGTCAGCTGTGTTGTCGAACGGCGTCCAGGGTTGCCAGATTGGGGTTTTACGGACAGATTTTGTTTGGATTCGGCGGAGAAACGGTGATTTAGTGCGTGGACACAGTGAGGGCTAGTTTGTGATCAGTTTTCTGGGTTTTTTTTTTTAAAGAAAATAAAACGAATGCACTGAATGCTTGGTTTAATAATGCAGCTGAAATCTGAACAGGCCCAACTTTTCCCACACTCGTAAAAAAGATGGTTCTTCAAGGGTTCTTTGGTAAAGAAAATGGTTCTATATAGAACCATGAACGCTCAAAAAACCATTTGCATGCTTAAAGTGTTCTTTGCATGGTCAAATGATTCTTTAGATTGATGAAGAATGTGTTGTGTATGGTTCTATAGCACCAAAAAGGGTTCTGCTATTGTGACAATGTTAAGCTACGCTCTTAAAAAAGATGGTTCTTCAAGGTTTCTTTAGCAAAGAAAATGTGGTTTAATAATGCAGCTGAAATCTGATCAGGGTTTAACTTCTCTCCACACTCTTAAAAAAGATGGTTCTTCAAGGGTTGTTTAGAAAAGAAAATGGTTCTATATAGCTATAAATCATATTGCATGGTTAAAGGGTTCTTTGCGTCATGAAAGGGTTCAGACGGATGCAGAAAGTGCTGTAAATGGTGACATATCAAACCCTTTTCAATTAGGTTCTGTATAGAACCAACTATAGCACATTCATGCACACTTTCTGAAGAACGCTTTCATGATGCAAAGAACTCTTTAATCATGCAAAACCATTCATATAGAACCATTTTCTCTACTAAAGAACCCTTGAAGCACCAGCTTTTTTAGGAGTATACTAATAATAGAAGAACCTTTTTGGTGCGGTATAGAACCCTTTTCAAAAATGTTCAAGATAGAACCATATCAAACATTCCCCATCAATCTGAAGAACCATTTTACCATGCAAAGAACCCTTTAAGCATGCAAATGGTTTCATGGCTCTATATAGAACCGCTGTCTTTACTAAAGAACCCTTGAAGAACCGTCTTTTTAAGAGTGCACATCTAGTCAGTTATCAAAACTTTTATTGACATACATTTTATTCACTCCTGATGAGAAGAGCACTTCGGCATTGTTCACATTGTTCACATTGTATTATAGATTAGAATTATAACGGCCCCTGATCTGTAGACATATAGCCTATAAAGACAAGCGTCGCTTGTAATAGTGTTATTTATTTACTGAAAGCATGTGATCATGAATATAAACAGGAGCAAGTTTCTTCGTCCAAACATTTCTCAGATGAAGTTTGACAGGGCATCTCAAAAGTTCTAGATTTATTATCATTATTATATTTCAGATTACTGTTGTTATTATTGATTTTATACTGTTGATGACAAAACCAAAGAATAGTATTATATTCTTTTATTACGATTACGTTCTAGCTAGTCTTCTTTAAGGACCTTGAGCAGTATCTGTTTATCTGAACGTAAACTTGGAACAATCTTGGAATTCATCAGAGCTGTAATGTTCCTATTTTCTAATTTCTATATTATTTTTTTCTATATATTTTTGATTATATGCTAACACAGATACAAAATGCCCTTTGTCTGTATTTTAAATGTCTTATTTTTAAAGAAAAAATAAATGAATAAATAAATAAATTACAACTTCGTGTCAGCGACAATAACCACAAAAGTGCGACAGCGCCCTCTAGCGGAACATAAAGCACCAATTATCTGCAGGTTTTGGAGGGCAGGACATCAGCTAGTGACGTTACTTGGCTGTTTATTTTTTATGGTATGTTGGTTTAAATGCTGTATTATTTAATATTATGGTTGACATTTTGACCATTTGTTTTTATATTCAGGACGTTTTGTCAGTTTTGTGCACTTTTCCGGGTTTCGAATTTATTGGCTGTAAACTGTAGAAGCAGCACGCGCCAGTTCACATTAGTTTCCCGCCTACAGTTGTCCGCACCGAAAGTGTAACGTTAGTCGTTGTGCGTTTCGAAGGTCCCGCGTCTAAAATCTGAATAAATAAGAAGAATAAATACCGTATTTTATGGGTGTATTTACCGTGTAAACAAAGGTTGAGTTTAGACCTCCTTGAGAGAACAGGCTCCTTACACTACGCCTGGTTTTGCAGTCTGGTTTGAACGTTAACTGTTAGCTCAGATGCAGCCTGGGCTGTTACCATTTAACGTTACCTTAAAAATGAGGTTCCCAAATATTCTTCGTCAAGCGCGGCGGGAGGTGATGGCATTAGTCGTTAGCTAAAGCCGTTAAAGTCGTTAGTTAAACTCACTTGGCGCCTGAAGACAACACCGGAATGGAAACAACAGAACTAGCTAAGTTAGCAGTCAGCTAGCTAGTTAGTTAACCACTTTTTTCCTTGTCGACTCTTTCAGCCAACCAGCAGGATTTAGGGCAACATACTTTTTCAAGTAGGTTACAGCACCTGTTCATGGAAGTGCTCTTAACATAAAGGTAAGAGATTAAGAAAACTGGAAAATTCTTTGAAGAATTAAGTTGCAGTTTGTAACTATAAACATTTTTCTGAAGTCTGAAAAAAGCACAGTTTAAACATATTTTATTCCTTAAAGTCAGCCCGAAATCAGAATGAACATGTTTTACCTTGTTCATGTCCCTGGTCATATTACTCACAGTTTATCATATAACTTCATATAAATTAAAAGACCGAAATATTATTTCCACATAATCCTTAATCAAAATATAATAACATCTACCTGCATTTAAAACGTCTTCTAAGTTTTTATTACATAACTGTGCACCAGCGGGTGGGGAAAATAATAATAATCCATAATAATCTCATTTCACCTCTCACTCAGACCACCACCACTTAACATCAAACAAAAACACACAGCTGGCTCAAAGACCCTCTCTGACACAGCATTTCACACAAAATACGGTACGGGAGGAACCTGTGTAGTGATTTATGCTTCATTTAAGCATTTAAAAGTAAATAAAAACAATGCTTGTTCTAGACTGTTCAGTATGGTCACTATTTTGGTCCTGATTTCATACATCATGCAAATGGTTTACTAGAAAAAGAGCACGTAGGCTTAACAAGAAATTTGCTAGTCAAAAGAGATACTGAAATAGTCTGGCTGTCAGCCCTGGTAGTTTCAGTTGGACATGCTGTTTTCTGCACTTTCCCAAGTGTTTAAGGATTGAGAAACCCCTCATTTCCCCACCCATTCCTCCTTCATTCTCTGAAACCTGAGATGGTGTTTTGTATGTCAGTCATGCAACTTGTGCATTAGTTATACCTTTTCCTGCTTATTGTTGGAAGAAGTTGTCCACTATTTGCTGATTTGGTTTAAAAATGATAAAGAAAGTAAAGTCCTTAGTCCAGTATGTCTCCTTGTTTTAGGTCCCAAATATGAACAAATACCCAATTTTGGGATGTGAATGGCAAAAAAAATAAAAGGAAAGTTTCATTTATTGTAGAGGGATGCCTTTGCAGACTGTGTCATAGCTCAGATATAGCATTAACTTTTTATACTATTGCAGGGACAGGAGGTCAGCGTAAGTGATATTAAAGACACATTTAACGTTGATTGAAGCTAACCACAGGCCTGACTGGTTTGGAATCCAGTAGATTGAGTGACTGTGCTTTGGCAGCCAATTTAGCCTAACTGTAAATTCCTCAAATATTCACAGTATGCCTTCAGCTGCCTGTAGGCTAAAGTAACAACACCCGCTTAATGGCTGTCAGTGACTCAAGTACAACTTGAAATGAAAGCCTGTGCAGCCTTCTTGATGTGTGAGCTCCTAGGCTAGCCTTGTGTTAGTTTAGGTTTGTCTAAATAGTTTGAGTTTGGGTTAATCAGTCCGGTAAGCACGCTCATAAATCAGTTAGCCTGTCATCAAAGCTACAGCAACAGAGGACGAGGCCTATGGGTGTTTATAGTCTTTCTGCACCTAGCGCAGGAAAATCTAAACTGGTGAAAGGCATCATCCCAATGAAACCATTAGACAAGATCAAATGGCCAGAGATTTAGCATCATAGAAGCGTAGGCTTTTCAGTGAGTTTTTGTCCTAATGTGTGTGATTGATGATTGTGTGGCTGGGAGAGCCATTTGAGGTGCTAATAATTGGTTTCATATGTAGAAACTGTGGAAACTCGAGCAGACACAATCACTTAAATCTTTTGCAATTAGAGCCATTTTCAGGAAGGTTCAAGCCTCAAGTGCTTTCCACTGAATTATTTACAGCGAGTTGTTTACTAAATCTCAACTGTGTTAAATAACTCCAGGTTTCTGTAGAATTCAAGGGTTGGGCTGTGCTATTGCTGTAGGCTGGATGCCATTCGTTTATCTAGATACTACCGGTTGGTGGAGATTGGATAATTTGTAAAATCACCCAATACAAGCAAGTCTTAGATCAGACATAGTTTCCTCACTAAGGTAAATGTTTATTACAGAGGGAAGTACTTGTATTTACAGACGTGTTCCAACAAGGATTCATGCACATGTTGTAGTACTTTTTTTTTGTATGCATTTGTATGCAAGTTTACTTTTGTATGAACTCATCCTATGGTTGATTAATGAGCTTCCCTTGGCTGCATTTTAAAAGGGTTTTTTGTCCTCTCAAAACTGTTTTTGTTCGAGTCAGAGTCTTGAAAAGATTTAAAGAGGTATGGCATCTGTTAATGTGTGCATCACAAGAGTGGAATTTTGGATTCTCTGTAATGTCAATACTGATAAAGATGTCCAGCAGGACGCCTTTGCTCGAGTGCTAGGAGCTTGAGGAAAATTGGAATTAAAAACTGAAGCATAGCCTTGCTGAGGGATCCTTCAGCATTTGTTAGAGAGTTTTTAAAGGTTCTTTAAGCGCTTTCATTTTCTGCCATGTTTATTATTTTTTCATTAGGGATGAAGCAGTCTCTCATCGGTCGGTGTCCTACAGGTCTTGTGGCTTAGACAGGAAAAGAAACACACAGCACTTGGGACGTAGGTGTGATGAAAAGAAAAATAAGCAACACCGTCTCTTATTTTTGTAAAGCTGAGTATGTTTATTCAGCAGTTATTTAGGAACGGTGAATTTATTAGAAATTCCATTTTGGCACAGGTTGTTTTTTTTTTTTAAATAAATAAGTCTTTGTCGGACTCTCGACTAAAATATCTAAATAAATATGCACATCACTGTCCAATAAATATTGAGTATCCACAAGAAAGATGCACTGCATCAACATGTCTGCTGTTGATAAGAACCAACACTGCCAGAGCTGTAAATAGGTGCAATGGGGCCAGAAGTTACTAATACACACATAGTACTGCCTCTTTCTGTTTGTCTTTACATAAAAGTACACAGAATGATATGAAACGCAAGACAGTTTACACATTATGCTATAAAGAACATTTTGTTCCAACAATGACTGATAAAATTGCAACAAATTAAATGTCTCTTTCTGATAAAGCACTTAAAACCTTTGCCCATTTTTTCAACAGATACGGTAATTTATAGGGGGAAAGAAAATGAATATGCAGTGTGATTAATGTGATTATGTCTAGATTGAAGTGCTTTTGCGTCACCCTACTCATATAATTTAGTTTTTTTCCCACTTAAGTAGAATTTTCAAAATTCTGCTTCTGAATTTCCAAAAATGTTATAACAGTTCCTTTAAGACATGACACAGTGATGCCTGCTCAGGAAAATTTCTGTCCACAGTATACAATTAGCAAATTTAGATGACAGTTCTAGCTTATGCTGTCTCTGTGAAGCAGTTGATTTTTTTTCTACTGTCTGAAGCTTACGTGTATACAGAGATTCACAATCTGGTCTGTTTGTTGTCCTGTAGGTAAATCTGGCTGCCAGGCCCCGGTGTGGCATGGAGAATGCGTGTCCACTCAGCTGCTGTTGCCTTGTTTTCACAGTAAGTCCATTAGCTTTGAAGGCAGGCCATGTTTAGGCCTTGATGGTTCCCGGCCTGCCTCCAATCTCATTTGTGGTTTTGTTCTTAATTACCTCAAAGTTCTCATTATTCAATCTGACCACAGTTCCACAACCTCCCTAGCAGCCCAAAGCCTGTCTATGTTGAACGAGTCAGCTCAACTGAAACTAGGAAAAGTAGATGTTAGCGTTATCTAAACAGTTCTATGTAGTAGAGATTTGGCTATTTACAACTCCCTTGACTTAGAGGGAATTAGGTGTTGACAGTATGTGCAGTGGGCTACAGATCTGTGACAGCCCAATATGCACAAGTCTGCCCTGCCACTGTCTGACTCACACCAGATTGACCCCTTGGATGTACTGCGGCATAATCTTTAAGAATCGAGAGCAAACAGATTGGATTTAACCTTTACAAGAACAAGTGAGCAATGTACCTTTGGATAATGGCAATCCCTACAAAGCAGCCTACAGCTTTTCTTATGCTCAAGCACCAAGGACTGCACTTGACTATATGACTGTAGTTTTTCATTTAACAATTTTTAAAAGTTGTATACAGTTTGTGTCAGCATTTGTATCAGATTGTACTTATGTACAGGTTGGTATTATTTTTTTGGTAGATGTATAGGACATTATAGAAGTACTTTTATAATACTTAGCCAAAGTGTCATGAAAATTAAGGTCCCATATGCTATACGTCTTTATGAGTTGCAAAATCGAATAATGTAAGAAATGTAATATCTTTACTATGAATGCACTCACAGTCTAGTGTTGAAAACATTTAAACACCCCTGGTCAGATTACATGTTTTTTGGGTTTTATCAGTGAAAATAAGGTAATACATCCTTTCCAAAGAATTTTAATATGGCATTTCTCTGCAAACTTTAGTGCACAATTTCTGTTTATTTGCTGAATTTAACATAGTGAAAAAACTATAAAATATGCACAGGCCATATTTTATGATTGACTTTTTTCCCCATATGTTAAATTTAACAAATGAACAGTAATTGTACTTTAAGATGTGCAGAAATGTGTGTTCTCTGTAGATGATATGTTAACTTACTTTTACAATTGACAAATCATGTCATGGTGGAGCCAAACTGTTGCGCATGAGTGTATATAGTATGCTCCACTTTGTTAAAGGCGACCACATGAAGTATATTTTCTTTTTTGTTGCATCCAGATTTGGGCTGAAGTGGTTTCTTATAGAGAGGGTTTGGGTCTTGTGAGACCCAAAACGGTTTTGAAAAGGCTTTAAAAAGAAAATAAAAACAGAGCATGTGATTTAATGCTTGTTTTCTTCAAGTGACAATGCAGGATGTTGTGTACAGTATCTGACCTGAGAAGACACACAGGAGTTTAAGTGTGTGTGTATCTCTGTGTGTGATTATGTCTGTTTCACTGATTTCTATCAGTGAATAGTCGACCCCTGGAGAGTGGGTGTAGCGCAGCTAGATTCATTGCATGTATATATCTCTAACCCAAAGTAAATGAGGTAGCTTTGTTTAACATCAGACTTCAGTATTCTCATAGCATTTGTGACAAAAGACAATTCGGTACACTTCTTCACAAGTGTAAAATCTCTGTCCGTGTTAAAATGACTGACGTGAGGTTATCCTGAATTTCAAGGATGTAGTCTTCACTCAGCATCAGTTTCATGTTCAGTGGAAGGCAAGGGTAGTGTCTCAGCACTGAAAGCATGTACTACAGGTCTCATCACATTGTAGAAATTATGTTTTTCTCTTAAGATCTCTTGAAAGCACGTTCTGAAGTGACCCATGAAGCAAGTGGACCAGACAAAACAAGTGTCCAAAAATTCCAGCTGTCTGCAAAGCATCTCTACTGCCTGAATGTCAGACATAGCCTTCCTGCCTGCTATGGCTTCTGTGGTTTTCATTATGACGTACACAGAGTTCATCTTCATGTACACTTTCATGGTTACAGCATTACAGCACTGTTACCATGGAGTTGACTGTAGTTACTCTGAATACTCCTTTGTTACCATGGAGTTGACTGCAGCCTCTGTGAAGCTTCACAGAGCTTCACAATCTGTGTCGCTACAGTGAGCTTGTTCAGAGCATTTGGAACATTCCACGTTACTGTGACCTCTTTCACCACCTCGCTCTCTGAAGCTTCCACCGTAACTGCCTGCATCCTCTGTTTCTCCGTTTCCTGCAGCATCAAACACACCTGCACTCACTGGCTGACACATTCTGAATGATGGAGAACCTTTCATTGTTGTCGAAGAACACCATATCCTCCTCATACTTGGTGGGTCTGCAGCAGGGGCTATAGCGTGCACGGTCCCTCTTGGCGCTTTCTGTGCTCCGGGCCTTGCCCTTCTGGTTCTGCGGCTCATTGAGGCGCATGTGCTCCAGTACCATGTCATAGTTGCGGCGGCGGCTGGTGCACTTACCACTGCAGTAGCGGAAGAGCACAATCTCGTTGCTGTCATAGCCCAGGCCAAGGTCACTCACCCTCAGCTGCTTCTGGTGCAACTTGCACGGGTTTGGGCCCCTCCTTGCCCTCTTGGTCCTCCTGCCCCGTCCACTCACCACGACCGCGCCTAACCTCTTGGTCTTCCTGTCCACCAGCATCCTGATCACCCTCTGTAGCTCGCCCTCTGTGAAGCTCTGGAACAAGTAGGAAACTGGAACAGAGAGGGGAGGAAAACACTCCATAAATAACCATCTTTAGATGGGTAGTAAAACAAATTGATGAGAAAAGCAAGGCCTTCTTTTCTCTCTAACTCTAAAGGTTAAACATGCACCTTTTAAAACAGAGGGGTGCAAACATGCAGCTGTTTGCTGCACTGGCCTGAATTCTGCGTCTTTGATTGGCAGGGTAGTAAAAAGGGATTATGTCTCCTTTTAAAATGCTTTTACTCAGTGGCATCTTGACTGACATTTTCATTTTTCTTTTTCTTTAAGTTGAGCATTGCTTAGCAACATGACGCTTTAAGGACGTCAGTTAGATGTACATATATCGGCTGATAGATGTTAAAGTAAACTAGTACCAAAAGGAACTAATCTAATGGCTAAAGTGAGCCCATATGAACTCTGTAGGAGCCAGTTTATCACTGGTCATTTAATGCGTATGAGTTTTTTATGTGTTTCTTAGCACTTTCCTTAAGTATGTCTTCATAAACAATAAAACCATAAAACTCTCAGAGCTGTTAGCCACAAGTCACCCACAGTTTATAGTTGGCACAGTGCTGTGAGAAAATTAGCTTTCTTTTTGCCTCTCTGATAGCTGGCCATACCTTTGGTCCCATGACATACGAGGTGTGATATGAGTGTGAGGTGGTGAGATGTGTAAATTAAACACTGCTGAGCGAAACACTAATCTCACTCATCAGTATGTTCTTACGTTGCCTAATCCACACCAGTGCCTTTGCTGAGAGAGCAGCGTCTGTTTATCTTACACTCTGATAGGAGAGAGCCCATGCCGTCTGTTGATCTGACCACCCGCCGAAGACCCTTCTCCCTGTGTAAGGATGATGATGATGATGACGGTGGTGCTGATGGTGGTGGTGGTAGTCCTGCTGACGAAGGATGCGTGGACGGTTCCGAAGCCCGGGGCTTGATGGACCCAGGAGGCAGCATGGTTTTGTTAAGCCGGAGTAAGACAGCAGTGCTAATGAGGATGAAGGCGAGAATGGCCCCTTTCCATAACTTCATCTTAGAGCGGTGTGGAGCATTGAAACTCTGTGAGACAGAAAGCAGAAGACCAGACACAAATCCGTTAGGCATAGTTAGATAAAGGCCTGCCAACACAATGTCAAACTGTTTCCCTTTAAGACATATCAGTTAACGCTGCTCAGATGCTAGGGATTCTTACCGTTTGGAATTGTCGAGTGTTTACTTAAGATCTCTCTTGTTGCTTCAGATTTTATCAGTGCCACCTTTACTCAGAAAGGAGCGAATGCTGTCAATGCGCCTTGAAAGAAATGTTTGGCTTTTTGTGGTAATACAGGTTACTGAGTTCCCGTTCTAAGCGTGTGATTCCTTTTTTTGCATTTTGTACTTTAGAATCATTCTTGGGAAATGAGTCACTCTCCTTAGGATCTCTTTCCCAGTAGGGACTCCAGCCTCCTCCCTTATGTCCCATTTCTATCTCTCTATTCAGTATGCCTAAAGAAAACGTAGTCTTTCTGTTATATCTTAGATGTAATAGATCTTTTCAACCTACTATGCACTTCTTACTGATACTTCTCTCAGTTTTTGTGGAGGGCATAGAACATCCGCCAGGGCACGGGACCCCTGCATCACTATTTACAAGCATGTCCAAACATTCCACCTCAGTATTTGCAAAAGTAGAAACCCAATGCAAATCCTGTCTGCCTTATGAAATTGTTGGTTCAGTAAATGGGATCAATTCTTGGCCTGACGAACAGCTCTATCTTCTGTTGACATGACAGAATGAGCAGGGGGTGTGTGTGTGTATGTGAACTGTGAGCCACATTAGTGGAAACACTAATAACATTCCTTGAACCCCCTCAGCCACACCTATGCGCTATTAGGATGGCTCGCCTTCCTACACCCTTAGTTCATGAGGTACATTTGCAGGCATCTAGTAGTTCATTGTTCTCTCTCTGATGGCTTTCTCCACAGCGTAATCCCTTTCAGATCTCATTTCATTTTCCAGTAAAACAACCCCCTATTTTTTGCAGTACAAATAGTGATTCTTTTTTTCCCCCCTCAACGTGTGCTAGCTTCTGTCTTCTAGGATCGGCAGGAGGAAAACATTTCCCCAGATCAGGAAACGGCACATGGGTAGTGACTAAGAACAAATCCAGACAGGCTGTGCTGAAAAACGTTCTGGCAGACTTGCTGCATAGTGGTCTCAGTGGGCTGTGAAGTTTAATTTATTTAGACTGGGCTGGTACAGATAGTGATCCTGGAACTGGTGCGCAATCTAGAGATAGATCAATTTATGTCATTTTAACCCGCAGAGGCTTTCGAAGAAAGACACCAGCACACCGCGCTTAGTGTACAAGAGTGTTTACCACGCTCTCTCTGTGAGAGTAACCCCAAGGTAGTCCTGGTGCAGTAATGGGTTTCTTTCATTTTTATAAACCCAAACTAATAATGGGCAGTATGGGGAAGAATACATATCATGGCATAGTGGAATCCGTTTTGGTAAATGTCGCGTTATAGTGATGTTTATGAATTTTGGATGCTTTATTACTTTTATGGAATGTCTGTTCTATTTTGACAGGAACCACCGAAGTAAGCCTAAAACGTTTTATTGGCCAAAATTGTACAAATAGAAATGAACCATATATAGAAAGACATCAATAGTGCTTTTCCAACATGAACAAGATGGAGAGTGCATGTAAGTACAGAGTGGCTTCTCTGAGCCCAGCGAAAATGGTGCTAAAAATTTTTTTCCATCTAAATTTTTCAAGTCATTGGTAGTGACAAAACCAGTAGACCGAGTTCATAGGTATATAGTATAAACTGACAACACAGGTAACAACATCACACAGTAGTAACGAAACTAATAACACTGACAACACTGTTAACATCATCTGACTAGGAACTAAGAAGAGGTTGACTTTTTTCCCAAGACACAGCCTTTTTTCGTTGATGTCCCTGGAAGACGTGAAGTAATTCAGGAATTTTCGTTTTCCACACAAAATGCATTATAAGTCACTGCCGCATGCAGCATTCTGTGTTAGAAAACAATGAAGTTCCAAGATTGTTCTATCTTGGGTCTAATTTTCATGAGACGCATATCTCATATTTTGTTCCATTTTTATCTCCTAGTTTATGTGTTTTGGATTTGTTACAAACTGAATAATCTAAAATGTTGCCTCTCTTTTGGCAAGCCTTGATCCTCTCAGCGTTTCCCACAGATGATAATAAATTATTATATCATTATTTCTTTGTGCAGCCAAGCACTTAATTCTCTGCACCTAAATCCCCATTAATCCAGATTGCGTAATAATGTTTTTATGACCTAAAAATGCTGGAATGTCAATAAACATCTCCATAATTGGAATATATTAGCAGTTGCACCATCATTACCGAATATTAGCATAGATTTCTAATAATTATTTTCTACTCTTCTATTCCATCACTCTAAATGATTATTGCAGTACTAATAATCAAGTACTATTACCTTTCAGAAATGGTCAGTTGATTAATTGCCCTGATGATCTAAATTGCTACCATCCGTATGTGGGCACCTTTTCTGGTGAATAATGCTTGATTAATACTGTGCACGTTATGGGTAGTTAGTTTTAATACATGTTTAGGTGCTCATTATTAGAGCTGGCATTAACTGCTATAAATACACAAACAGTGCAGATGGCTGTGAGATTATGATTTTTTTTTCCTCAGAAGCCTAAATTATGGCCAAGTATGAAATTGACTATAAAAGCATATGAAAGGTTACTTCATCATCACCACATCATCTGTTTTTCTACACAGAGCCAAGAGTTAGAGGCTTTTAGGGATGATAGGCTTACTGTGAATATATCCATCTCATAAACGTTTCCCAAGCCAGTGTTTAACAGCCCACAGTCCTGCTCCCGCAACACCTCAGCCAAGTAATCAAAGACTGTATAACATGGATTATCTGGCTCAGGTGTGTTCGCAGCTCAAATTGAACAAAAATGTGGAATGGCTAGAGGTCCTTGAAAGCCACAGCCAACCATGCTTTTTTACAGTGCAAGCCGGGGAACCCACTAGATTCTAAGATACAGTAAATTAATTGTAGTCTACTTAAAATATTAAAACCTTATTCTTATAAGATATAAAAGAAATTTTAAGACTTTGTTCCATTGTAAAGTTTTATCTAACAGAGTTCAAAAGGCCACACATTTCTGACTCTGTTCCAATTTTGCTGCAGGGGGAAAAAAAGCAAAACTGCACTGTAATGGAGTTTCTGTGCCGGTGGTTGTAATGAGATGCAGACTTTTGTGAACAGCAATCATAGTCCCTCTTTGACAAACCTGTTCCACTCCTGCTGTATCAAAAATATACACTACATGACACAGGCTCGCTTCATATTTAACATCTTAGTCTTGCCTGAAATATTTCCAGTAACTGTGTGACCAAATACTACAATGGCGGTCCATCATCCTGTACACAGACCACTATGACTCATAACTGTCTGTGTGAGGACAAAGGCTTCGCTCTATAAGTGAGAGTAAACATGTACAAATATTTTCATCCCAGTCTGGTTAAGTCATAACGTAAAAAAACTACACTAAATTGAATGCCTGCTGTGTCAGAGAAGATTCTGGATCGAAACTCACCCATTTGATGCTCGTGCCTTTGGACGTTAATATGTGCTACATTCATGGCAGCTTGAATATGAAAGCAAAATGAGGATTAGAACGTAGGACATAGACCATTATTCTTTAGCTATATTAGTCTCATCACTTCAGTGCAAAACTAAAGAAGCATTCTGCCTCATTCAAAAAGTACTCAGAGCTGAAACACTCCTTATCTTCAGCGTTAATGGGCAGAGCTAAACTGCTTTAGGCTGAACCGAGTGGGTTTGTGACATCACAGACACAATGAATTCAAAACAGTATAGTTTACAAAACAGTATAGTATAGCTTTCCATATATGGACTGTATGGATTATTTCTATAGCGCATTTGAAACAACTGCTTCAAAATGCTTTACACAGATAGGGTCATTCAAGATGAATACGAAGAAACAAACAAGTTAAAAAGAAAACAAAGCTGGAGCTGCCCAATCACCTTTACCTTTTTCCTTTAACCAGAGACACTTAGGAGACATTCATGAGAAGATCTCAGGGCTTTCTATGGTGTGTGGAACTGAAACATGTCTGATATGTAAATAAGAGCCAGGCAAAAAACCCACAATAAAACCATAGACTAAATTCTTAATTGAATTGGAAGCCAATAAAAAGATGCTACAATTGGTGCAATATGATCATGCTTTTTCATGCCAGTGAGTAATTGAGCTGCAGCATTTTGGACTAACTGTAGTCTTGCCAACAAGGAGTGACTGACAACAAGAAGCAATAAGTAAGAGTAGTCCAAACAAGATGAGACATATGAATCACCTTTTCCTGTCACTGACGGGCAAAAATGGTAGGGGTGTACAATGATGTTGGAATCATATTGGTATCGACAGATACCAAACGACATCAGACAGATGTTTGGATTTAGCAGATATTTCACAGTGATATAAAATGATCTGTTTATTGTACTCTGGAAGAGCAAAATGTTTAGGTGATGATGGGCTACTATGCTTAAATGTCTGCATATTCATTTCACTGCATGTGTAACCCTCTACAAATACATATAAAATTTCTCTGTAATGCTAATCCAAGTGGATCTAGTCTCAATTTCTACATATTATAATTTCTTATCTATTGGTATCGGTATCAGTGGATACATACATGAAAAATATAATTTATCGGCGTTGGTGCATAGGTAGGAAAAGCTGCTTTAGACCACCGTGGAGGTATGCTTATCAAAGTTGAGTTCTGAGTCAAAAGTCAATCCTAGGTTTTTTACCTGAGGTTTCATGAAAGATGATAGATGGCCCAATTTTCCAAGGTAATCACTTGTCAGGTCAGAGGAACCAAACAGAATAACCTATGATGTAATCTCATTAAGTTGTAAAAACTTGTTGGTCATCCAGTCTTAGATACACATGAGGCAGTTCAAGTCAATTTCTTTGAAGCAGAGCCGCTGTCATTCTTCAAACGGATATATA